AAAACAAGGCAACAGGGGTGTAGGGTTTGAAAGGCTCAAAGTTGTGGCATTTCGTTGAGGACTTCGAGCACTTGACAAGTATATACACTCATCATTGGGTGTACAAGCGATGATATCCAAGTCATAAGGGTGGTCAAAAATGGGGTGTCAACACGTGTGTTTCTTGAATTAGAAGAAAAAAGAAAAAAAATTCAAACTCATGTGGGAGGCCCCAATAGTACTTATAATCAAGCTTGGGGTAAATGTCAAGACTTGTTAAACCAAAAGCAATATATTCAAACGTTTTTTTTCCAAACAATCTGATGTAGACGTCCCCGAACGTCCTGGGAGGGAAATCCCGATTTGTTCATTTGGGGCTTACTACAGTTCAGACTCAAATTGTCATGGTTCTTAATCTGAACCAAAGAGTCCAAATCTGGCAAATCATTTTGGAAAAAAGATTTTTGTAAAGAAGTGCCAAACATGGACTGCTTTGCCAGATACAGAGTCGCTACCTAAATATTTTATTTTAGAAGAATTTAGGAAACCCTGACTCGTTTGCCTAAGGCCATGTGTCCGTTATCACCAAAGTTGTCTCGGCTCAGGAACTTGGTAACGATTGGGGAAGGTCAGCTATGAGCACCCCCTCTTGCCCAATCCGAAGATCGGTCTCTACTAACCATGATATCTTGTTTTGAATACATTATGCGTTCTTATTCCGGTTATTAGCCTAGATTTACTATGTGATGCGCATAGCACAAAAGTATAGACTAGATCGCCTAATTTGGAACAAAGCATCGCATATCCGTTTGTTTGAAAATCGGTTTGAAATTTGCTACTCGCAAGTAGGCTAAAACACGAATTTCAAGGAGTTGTTCCAACTCAAACAATCCAACCTTCACCCACAGGCATTCAGGCAGATATATCACATAAGCATATAGCCACATGGTAAGCATGCTGTCATGTTAACATTCACACTCATGCGAGATGCTAAAGCATAAAACACTTACAGTGTACTCCAAGCCAAAACAATGAACATGTTAGTAATCAAATGTATGATCCAAGTCCATGTTAAATGGCTAATGCATCGCATACAAAATACAATCTAGAATAGGCTCGGCTAATCTAAGAGTGGCATGTGGAATGTAACAAGTAACACGTATTCAAGTTAGATTTGAAATACTATGCAGTTAGTATGATGCGCCGAGCCCGGTGCATGCAATACAAATGAATGAATGCACGCAGGCATAGCATAAGGATGCTAAATTAAACATGCCCTAATACTAACCATCAAAGCAGGTAAGTAAAAGGAAGAAAGAAGTGAGGGTTGGAAGACATGCATACACGCACCCACACTTATTATAAATTCGCCCTCGCTCGGAGGGACCAAAAGAATAATACCCTTTAATTAACCTACAAGCTAATTAAATAATTCACAGACCACCTAATTAATTAACAAATCAATTAGGCTAAAGAAAGCATTAAAAGGCCTTGGGAAGAGGGATGCACACGTGCTCGGATTGGCTTCGCCCGGAAATCCAATGCCATGCACAAGCTGCCTCTGTTTACCCTGCTCTGCTCCTCTGAAAATGGCACAATTCCCAAGGTATACCTTATGAACATTGGGAAATGCCACCGGCCATGAGGAATGGTCACCGGCCAAATAGAAGTGGTCATCGACCATCTATGGAGTTATCGGCCATCAATAATTGGTCGATCGGCACTTGATGTAGTCGACCAGCCAAAGCTTCCTGCAGAACCTGTTTTGACAGCAACAGAGGGCAAAACAAGGCATGGCAATGCATTTCAAGCAAATGTGTGCACCAATACACCCCTTATCGTGTTTATGACTCAAAGGGGGATAGTACTCGATTCTCGGACCACCAATCGCGCATTTCAATGCGTGATGGCCTAAGGAACCAAGTTGTGCATTGGATATCAAATGTAATGCACACCAAACACCCAATGAATCCTAACCTCTGTCATGGTCAATCAAGAGGCGAGGAATGCATGCAAGATGCAACCTAAGCATGCAAGCCTAGCATGCCATATGAACATGTAAACAAGCAATGATGCTAACAAAGCAACTAGCATATTACAAGATGCAAGGACAAGCATGCAAACAAGTGTATGACTTGATTCAATCATGTGACAACATGTGAGGCATAACACATTCAAGTATGCAAGGCAACTTAACATAAGATGCATGCCAAATGTAATGTCACTTAAACATGTAACAACACATGATAAGCCAAGTATGCAATCAACACACAAGGTGAGCATGCCACAACATGCGATGGATGGTCTTATACCAATTTGGGCAGCTCTCAAATAAGCCCAAAACAGTGGCCAAATGCCAAGGAAATGGAGGCAAAATAACATACAAACATGCATGCACACATGGTTCAACACTTAGGCATTAAAGAGCGACTTTTAAGCACACTTAAAAGAGGACAATCATGGACTAATGTCATGCATACTAAGCTCTGAAACCATGTTATAAAAGGTTCCAAACCAAGCAAACAAGACAAGCTAAGCATTCAACAATGTCCAAAACTCAAGGTAAGCCAAGGGGCTTAAACCATGGCCATGCCAACCAAGCCTCACAAGGCTAAGAGGACTTAGAATAGTCCCAAGGCAGACCTAAACAAAGCTAAGGACACACCTAGATAACATCTAAGTGGCCTACACATGAAAGCATACAAAAGAGGCCAAACATGGAACACAAGACTACAACCTTTTAAAGCATTAAGGGAGCATCAAATGCAAGCACACAAGCATACCATGGGGACTGAAATGATGCTATAAGTGGTGACATGGAAGCATACAAAAGAGGCCAAACATGGAGCACAAGACTACAACCTTTTAAAGCATTAAGGGAGCATCAAATGCAAGCATACAAGCTTACCATGGGGACTGAAATGATGCTATAAGTGGTGCCAAACCACTGAAACAAGCTAAGCAATGCATGCTAAACACTCACACACCCGAGGCTAGCAAGCCAAAATGCAAGGTGGCTATACAAAGCATGTCAAGCATGGCCGAAGCAATTAAAAACAGAGCTAAAGCGTACTAAATCATGCATAAAAGCTTCACAAAGCTTGGCCAAAATCATGCTATAACAAGGCTCAAAGCACAAAGCATGTTAAGGCAAATTCATGGCATTACAAGACAAGTATGCTAAGCATGCATGGTGTGTCTAAACCAACTAAAAATAGTGCTATATCATAATAAAATAAGCACAAATAACACTTAAGACATGGCCAATATGAACTTAAAAATGGTGCTCACACATGAGGCTAAAATGGCACTTTTTGAAGGCAACAAGGAGAGGGGATGGCCCTCTCCTTCTTAGGACCTTAAAGCACCATCCCCACCACTGAAATCCCTCAAGATTTCAGTGGTGAGGAGCCCCAAACAAGATGGTCCCGGAGCTCACCAAAATAACACAAAATGGGGGTCAAACAAGGCCTAAGAGGGGTCAAACAACCCCAAAGCTCAAAGCAACCTTAAACAACTATTTTAAGAAAGTAAAAACAAGACTTTTATATGTTATACACTAAGCTCAAAAATAGATGTAAGGTAGGCAAAAAGACTATGCAAAAATGGGGTATTTAAAGGTAAAGTTCTTACCCTTGCAGACCCCTTCAAGAACAGCACTCCAGCTGCTTTTCTTAGCTCAAAACCAGCTCAAAACTTCAAGAACAACCTAATGGCTCCTTAGCAACCAAGGTAAGGTGTAAGACTAGGTGTTTGTGCACAAAAGTAAGGACAAACACACACTTATACACAAAGAGAGGGAGATATAGAGATAGAATAGATACACTATGGCTAACCCTAATCCAAACCTCTGGAACTCAACCCTCTAACCCTTGAAGAGGGAGGAGAAGGCCTCCCTTTATAGAGGATCACTCTTGCAAAGCTTACAAAACAAGCTAAGTAAGAGTGAAAGCCCTCCATACACGTATATGGAGAGGGGCAAAGTGGGTGCCAGCTAGCACAGCTGGCACAAAAATATCTGCAAAAGCAGATGCACAGTGGTCGGCTAGTCAAAAATGACAAAATGGCAAAATACATGGTCGACTGACCACAAAGAGTGCCGACCGACCAAACATATGGCCGATGGCAACAAAACAATGGCCGGTGGCCTCAAGCCATGGCCGGTGAGGTGTAGGGGTGGCCCACAAGCCACTCTCTTCCCCTCAAAAGCAAAAAAAAAGTGTTTGGTGCAAAACCAAACACAAAACAGTCGAGTCGAGAGATCTTGAGGCAAGGCGTGTGGTCGAGACCTCCGGGAACTCAAGACGAACACAAACATGGATGATCACCGAGTGTTCAAATAGTGACGTCCAAGTCTTGAGGACGGTCAAAAATGGGGTGTCTACATCTGACCATGCTCGAATTGAATATCAAACTCTCTTGAATGCATCGGTTGATTGTGTTAGGTTTCTTCTAAGACAAGAGCTTACATTTCATGGTCATGATGAATTTGAAAAGTCAAGTAGCCAAGGAAATTTTCTTGAACTTTTGAAGTTTCTTGCTATTCACAATGAAGATGTCAAAGCAGTTGCATTAAGCAATGCACTACAAAATCTTAAGTTAACAGCTCCTGATATTCAAAAAGATATTGTTAGTGTGGCTGCGTTTGAAACTATCAATGTAATTTGTAGAGAGCTTGGTGATGCACTTTTTTCTATTTTGATTAATGAAGCCTGTGACATATCAATCAAAGAGCAAACGGTAATTGTAATATGATATGTTGGCAAAAGAAGCCAACTGATCGAGCGTTTTATTGGTATCGAGCATGTTGCCAATGCTACTGCTCTTTCACTCAAGCAAGTTATGGAAAATTTATTTTCTAGACTTGGATTGAGTATTTCTAGATTGCGGGGTCAAGGATATGATAAGGCTAGTAATATGCAAGGTGAGTTAAATGGTTTTAAAACACTTATATTAAGGGAGAATCCTTGTGCATATTATGTTCATTATTTTGCCATCAATTGAAATTGGCTCTTATAGCCATGGCAAAGAATCATGATCAAATTGCCTTACTCTTCACTTTGGTTACTAATGTGGTGAATGTTGTTGGAGCATCATGTAAACATCGAGATATTCTTAAGGATAAACAATCAGCAAAAGTTGTTGAGGCACTTAATATGGGAGAGCTATCAAGTGGGCAAGGCTTAAATCAGGAAACCAATCTCAAACATGCTACTGATACACGTTGGGATTCACACTATGGTACTTTAGTCAGCTTGGCTAGTATGTTTTTAACAGTGATCAATGTGCTTGAAATGATTTCAGAGGATGGTTCAAATTCAGAACAACGAGTAGAAACAAATGTGTTGTTGGACTCAATTCAATCTTTTGAATTTGTATTCAATCTTCATTTGATGAGAACGATATTGGCTATTACAAGTGAGTTATCACAAGCATTACAAAGGAAAGATCAAGATATTATTAATGCTATGAATTTGGTTCAAGTTTCTAAAAGGTGACTCCAAATGATGAGGGAGAGTGGGTGGACCTCTTTACTTAATAATGTTTCATCTTTTTGTAAAAAGCATGAAATTGATGTTCCCCAAATGGATGATATGTTTGTAGCTCAAGGGAGAAGAAGGCATAAAGCTCAAGAAATTACAAATTTACATCACTATCGCACCGAGTTATTCTACACTATTTTGGATATGCAAATTCGAGAACTAAATGCTCATTTCACTAAGTCAAACACTATGTTGCTACTTTGTGTGGCATATTTTAATCCATCCAACTCATTCTCTAGTTTTGACAAGAAAAGTTTAATTCATCTTGCTGAATTTTATCCAAATGAATTTTCTACAGTAGAGCTCATGGTGTTTAATGATCAATTTGATACATATATTGTTGACATACTCTCTAGTAGTGAGTTATCATGGTTGAATGGAATTGCCAATCTTGCTAAGAAAATGGTGGAGACTGGAAGAGATAAAGTATATGCATTGGTTTATTTGCTCTTGACTTTAGCATTGATCTTTCCTCTTGCAACTGTTATTGTTGAGAGGGTATTTTTCAGCTATGAATATTATGAAGAATCAGTTGTGGAATCGAATGGGTGATGAATGGATGAATGCTAGCCTGGTTGTTTACATAGAAAGAGACATTTTTGATGGCGTTGATAATGATACTATCATGGAAAACTTTCAAAAGATGAAAACTCGTCGGGGTCAATTGTGAAAGTTTAGTGATATTTTTGTAATGAATGAAAACTCGTCAAAGGCAATTGTGAAAGTTTAGTGATATTTTTGTAATGAATATTTAAGTTTTTATCATTAATATTAGCTCAAAATATTATGATAATTTTATTGTTATTGATTAGGAAAGAAAAATTTTGAGATTGTTGAGAATCCTACGTGATTTGTGATTAGATCAAGATTAACTAATTCCAAAACCCAATAAATTCAAAACACTCAACCTAAAATCATCAAACACTTACGAGAGTGATTTTAGTTTGTTTGTTTTTGAGAATAAACAATAAAACAACACAAACGATTTTTTACGTGGAAAAAACCACAATTGAAGAACCTTCAATTGTAATCAAAAACCACGGGCGAACCGCCACTATCAATCCACTACTGAAGAACGAAAAGATTACAAAGAAATCATACAAATTACCCAACCCTAGTCAATTTGTCTCTGAATCTTCTGTAACTCTTTTCACCACACCTTCGTCACGGAATTGATTCTGAAGTTGATTCCACACCACAACTTCACTTGTCGAATTACCGACTGCGTAGACTCAAACGCCTTTTGGATCCTACGCTTTGATCTTCGGAATCCACCGAAGAGAACTCACTTGAAACTTAAGAAGCAACCTCCTTGATGTATGAATCTCAATGCATAAGTTCAGAACTCTCTTAAGAACATCAAGGAAAATGATCAAAAATTTCCAAAGAAGACTTTAAACACAACCCTAGTTTGTTTTGATCAGATCTAGGAAAACGTCCTTTACAAAAACACCCTTAGCAGCTTTAAATAGAAAACTGGATCCGCGATCTCCGCTCGAGCTCACAACAGCCCGCTCGAGCGGACTGACCAAAAACTGCATACGAAGAAACTGAGATGCGCTCGAGCGTAGGAGTTTCCGCTCGAGCGTAAAATCACACCCACCAGTATTTGTTGCTTGCCCTGACAAACTACTGAGACCTGCCAATCTACGCTCGAGCTCAACAGTCTCCGCTCGAGCGGACAGTACAAAAACACAAAAAAATACTTTTGAATCAACACAAGGTTTTGTCTCCGGATTTGACAACATAGGGACCTAACAATTGTAATTAATAGGTGTCCCTCTTACATAAAATTTCTGGCTCCGCCATTGAACCTAGGGATTACTTAAGTCGTATTTACTACCTTTTGGTTTTTTTTGGCTTTTTTGTGAGAGAAAGAATGTAATGATTATGGGTTGGATGTGATGTTTTATCTTATTGGGCTAAAAAGCCTATTTTGTTTTTTGTGGCTATTTTAGCCAAAAAAAAGCCCAACTTTTTTCTTCCCAAACGGAGCCTAATTGTTTTGTAATCGGGGAGTCGTGGCAATCTTTTTTTTTTATATATATAAAAAAAAGAGCATACTTTTTATTGAAAGTGGATTTCAAAATTTGCCCATACATCAAAGCTATTTAAATGAGAAATTATCTAATACATTAGGCATATATCCTATGTTGTCTGTCTAGTATTGGGCCATGTAATTACTTTCCCCTACTTTCTTTTTTTTGATCATAAAGAAAATCTTCGTTGCAAAACTGATAAAAGATCGGATCAATCTAGTATAGCGGTATCACAAGATCTCAAAAAGAAATAAAAACTTCCATAGAAGGAAGGATCCAAGCCTTCATAGAAGAGGAGAAAAGGCCCTCACAAGGAAGGAAAACAAACCTCTACATAGGAATGATTATTAAATGACCAATCTAAAAATTAAGAAAACCAAACAAAAAAACTAAATTCAAGTCGTCATCGAACTGATCTAAAACTCCATTGCTTTTCATCCTTCAACTTGAAATCTGAAGACTCCACCTCCACTAGTCAAGATAGAACATTAAGGTTGAGGTAATCATTTAGCATAAAACAAACACATCATCCAACATTGACCTTCGGATTGCGAGAAGATCTGAAACTATATCTTAAAGTTTTGGACTTGAGGGTGGAGAATGTAAGACAGTGATGTCCAGACTGATGAGGAAAACATTAGATTTAGGTTAAGAGGAGAATCGAAAGGTGGGAGAGGAGAGGAAGATCGGAGAGGTGAGGGAACCATCGCCGTCTCCCTCTTTAAAGAGAAAAGCAAGATGGATTTAAGATTTAGGGAGAGGCTAGTTTCTCATACTTTATCTCCTATATTTTAAGTAAACTGACTTAGTAGGTCTAATCTACTAAATAACTTCTCTATTTAAATGGTTGAAACTTAATAAGAAAAAGGACATTTTTTTTAGAAAAAAATATACAAAACTTCAAACTGAAAAAGAAATCACATTGCTAGCTGCTTTATTATATATATATATATATATATATTACGGCTGTATGAGCACATAAATAATTTTCTCGTATAATCCTGTTAATCAAGTTTGCACTCCTTCAAACGTCATCGCTTTGCCACTTGCAAATACAAACGTGAGCTAGCCAGTGGGTGTGTGCTGGAAACCTCTTCGATGCCTAAGTTAGTAAATAGACAATAGACACAAAAGTTCTGTGTATTCCCGAGTAAGAATTGTGATACCTGTACATAGGTCCTGTCATGAGCTTTTATAAATTCCACCTGGCACAATCCTAGTAAGACTCTAACTCTCTTTATAAGAGTCCTCATAAGAATCACACTCCCAAGGATGATGCCTATCCTGATAACACCCTACTCACTACTAATCAAGTGAAATGATTGCAACTCTTATCTAGGCTGGCACCAGACTTCACTGTGCTCACACAGCTCGGTGCTGCTTTAGGCAACACTGTTAGTCTTGACTTTGAGATGATGCCCTGCAAAGATATCCTTTAGCTCAGTCCTCCTTCCATTGATACCTCAGTCCATGATAGCTAGGTCAGGCCATTGGTAGCCTACCTCTAACTGCCTTGGTGCTTAGATGAACTAAGACCATGCTACATAAACAATTACTTCGGCCCGTAGCTCTGCCCAATGTCTAAGACGAATGGTCTTAGTTTGGTAAAAACTATTCACATAAATTACCCTCTCAACGACATACATATTTGAATCAAGTTTAAAAAGAAAAACAAATTAATGTGGTCAAATTTGATAATGGTTGTTTTTAGTAATTTCTTAAGATGAAATTGTCGCAAGAAAAACTATTGGTAAATGTTTATTTATTTGTTAATAAAAAAGTTTACTAGATTTTTATTTCTATTTTTCTTAAACTGACCAACTTTTTTTTTAGGGCTTAATTAACAAAAAAAAAAAAAAAAAAAAAAAACAACAACAACAACAACAAAAAAGTTAAAACTAGACAGAGTGTTACAAATTGATTTGCTTAATAGGAAAAAATATTTGAAATTCCTAAATTTTTTTTGTAATTTTTTTATTTGAAATTTCTAAATTTGTTTTTGTAATTTTATTTACAGAAAATTGTTGAAAAATCCAAGCCAATGAGGATACAATACATTAAGTGCATCGGATTTTTTATTTATTGATGAGAGATCCACCATTTGGGAAATAGTTTGGTGAGAAATCATTTTATTGATTTTAGAGGACATTTTGTTTTCAATTTTATTTCTTAATTAATCTGTTCAAATTTTTTTCTCTATCTATTTAAATTTACATCTATCTGTTCAAATTATTTTCCATTTGTTCAAATTTATATCTATATGTTCAAATGTTTTCACTATCTGTTCAATTTTTTCCCTTTTCTATTCAAAATTTTTCCCTAGCTACTTCCTTATCTGTTGAATTTCACAAGCCTATTTTTTTTCTATCTGTTTAATTTTTTTTTATTTTTATCTGTTTAAATTGTGATATACATAGAGAGGAAATAGAGATTGATTTGTTAAAATATTTTTATTTGTTCAAACAATTTACAACAAGAACAATCTGGATCACTAATAATGACTTTACAATCAACCAATTTCAAAACACACACACAGAAATTGCAAAGTATAGAGGATAAGAGAGAGATCTTGAGTGAAGATCTGGATCACTAAGACCAACCAATAACTTCTCCCAAATCTAATGGTATCTCACACTCCTATATATATCATGACTCAATGAAGTACCATAATGAAGTACTCAGATTAAACTTGTCTGATTTCAAAACCATGAAAGTTGTACTTCTCCGAATTGTTTCGGTCTTGGTTTACCAACATTCTATCATTCTTGGTTCACTAAGGCTCTCTGCTTTGCCTAGGATTTCTCTGGTCAATCGTCGAACTAATTTTACTCCAATGAAGGGAATACGAAGGGTTTTGTTAGATTTAGAGTAATTTATGAAAAAGAGAGAGAACAATTAAAGGAATCTGTATTCCTTGTATTGATCAAAGGATATCAACTCCATTCTTGAGTCCTATCAGTGACCATAACCGAGAACGAAAACAAGTACAAAATCACCACACAAACCCTAAACCCTAACTCCATCTTACAGGAGGCCGATCTGGTAGCGTTGGTGGTGTTTCTACCGCCGCAGTGGTGGTGGCTACGGAGGTTGCTTTGGGAAAATACGATGGCATGGATCTGAATCTTGGCAAATATGAGCAGCAAATCATCGCGATGGAAGGAGAAGCGGCGTAGAGAGAAAGAGATCCTTCTTCGATGATGGTTACAGCTCCAGATTCAGCGACTCCCTCTCAGTTGATAGCTAGGAAGAGAGAGAGAGAGAGAGATGAGAAGTAAGAGAAACACACAGATAGAGAGAGAAGAGTTTTGTAACGGTTCTACTATTTCTCTATCAATAAACGTGTAGCTGTCTGGGTATTTTGGTTACTTTGCATGACTTTATCCTTATGAACAAAATATTTTGGGCAAATTACATATACCCCCTCGAGATTTAGCAAAATTACAGATATCTCCTGAGGTTTGAGAAATTACAGATATCCTCCTGAAGGTACTATTTGCATAACAAATTAGGGGACAAATTCTTATGAAAATATAAACCTCAGGGAGCAATTTGTTATGAAAATATAAACCTTAGGGGGTATTTGTAATTTTTGAAACCTCAAGGAAGTATTTATAATTTAGCTAAACTTCGAGGGAGGTATATGTAATTTGTCAAAATATTTTAGTGCGTCCTCTAGCTAAAAAAAATTCTTTTATTATGTATGAATTTTTGAATTGTGAACTCCTAACTGTCAACAGATGGAGGAAGGCCGGTTAAAATTTTTTTTTTTTCCTGGGTTCGGCGAACCGTATTTCTTGTACTACTTTGGGCCAAAACGCAAAACATTAGTAAAATTAGAATTAGGGTGGGTCAAAGTAAAAGCTGGATTATCAGAGGCAACAGCTTATTACACTATATACACCCCCAACCCAACAGCCAAACAACCAAAGAGAACGAACGTTGTTGATCCTTTTCGTCTCTGTCTCTCTCTCCCTTCCTTTTTCTCTTTCGGAATTCAAATTCGTCTTCTCTCTCTCTCTCCGAAGTTTTCAATCGTCAATGACAACTGATCTCGAGATCTAGAGAGAGAGAGATGATAACACGATCGAATCTGGCGGAACAGCTGAGGGAGTATCAGATTCGATCGAAACACGATTGGGCTTCTGTCTCTTTCTTCGCTTCTACTTCTAATCTGACTTTTTCAAGGTACCAACTCTAATCATCACCCTTTAATTTCATCTCCCGATTGTTTGTAATTATTTTCCCTCAATTTTTGTTGAATTCTATATGTTAGGTTTGTTTGTTTAGGGTTTTATTTTTATGAAAATTTCTGGATTCAATTGGTTCAGTTAGGTTTCTTGTGTACATTGATAGAATTAGGGGTGTTTGTGCACTGGTTTGTTGTGGTTAAAGGTGAACCAAGTATCAATTCCTGAAATTTAGGAAGAACATTTGGAACTGAACCAGAACCAGAACGAAACCATAAAAATCAGTTGGGTTCCAGTTTGATTATACGATTCTAGACTTTAAAATGCATCAATTTATTCATACTATAGAGTTAAACAAAAAATTGATTCTACATATAAAACCATTCTAAAAAATTCACAAGCGTACTTCAAATTTTCATATCGTTCTTCAAACCAACTTTTATAAAATGTACGAAGACATATCAAATTCTTCATATTAGATATTAAATACTACATAAATTCAAATTTTAATTAGCATAAATTACCAATACCCTCTTGAGATTGAGCAATACAATTTTTTTTTTTGATTGTTTTTGAAAATTACAAATACCCTTGTTAGAATTTGTCATTTAACTTTGTTAATAAAAGAAAACAAAAATACCCTAATTACCCTCCTATACCACAATGAATTACCTACTTACCCTTAAATACTTCATCCCCTGCTCAAGGCCCTTTCCACCGTTCCAATCACTCAACCACCTCCTTCTCCTGTCCTCTCTGTTACCCCCACCCCTTTCCCACCTCAGTTGCTAGCCTCTACCTTCTATAAAATACAAATATAGATACGTGACACGACACGAATACAATATGGATATATCAACACGGCAATTTTTTAAAAATGCAGGACACGACACGTAGGGGATACACATAAAATATATAATTTTTTATATTTATTATATATCATATATATGAATATATTATTCTAAAACTATAAATAAATGTAATATAATACTAATTTTTATAAATTGATATTATTTTTCGTTTATCATTGTATTCTAAGTTGTTTTGTTTAAACGAATTTCGTGTGTAGGTTTAGCGTCATGACCGGCCAGTAATCATAGATTACTTACGGCCTCTTGTACAAATGAACCTCTTAATATAAAGTACAGGGCTTAGCGGAAATTTGAAACAACGTAGAAATTATCCATTGAGCTGTGCATGTATGAGGAGAACTAATATAATAAGCAAAGTTTTGATTTAAAAGTACATTTGTCACATTTGTACAAAATTCATGTCTTGCAAATATACTACCCCAACTATAAACAAATACAAAACCATTGAAATACACAAAGGGGTTCAACTAGCATGGCTCCTCCTGAGCCTAATCACTTCACTTAGAAGCTCCTCAAAATGGCTGACCCGGATAGACTCGAGGCTTTCTAATTTTGATGTTCAGCTTGCCCACCTACATATATATATAAATAAATAGTGAGTTAGAGCCTAGTGAGTAATAACAGAATAAAGAGATTATGTGAATGGAATTTGATGACATGCTCGTCAAAATTCTTATTTCAAGTCTTTATATCCAATAAATTTCATAATCGATGTCATTCAATATCAAATATGTGGTACACCCATGAACAATAACATTCTAATAATAGTGGAGCAAAACCAATAGACCACGAAGGGTCAAGCTAATGGACCACGAAGGGCCAAACCAATGGACCATGAAGGGTCAAACTAATGGACCACGAAGGGCCAACTCTAGAGATCTCTGTGTAATCCAATAGCCTTGGTATTGTTACCCCCAAGCAAGGGCCTACAACCAATAGCCGTGGTATTGTTACCCCCAGGCATGTGCCTATGTTATATGGATGCCACAAATACATTTCGAAAATGAACTTCATTCATCATTACAAAATAACTTTTCGATAAACCATTCAATCAGTCACATATTGATTCCAAAGCAATAACAATTTTGAAAATAATATTACTTGAACATATCTTTATAAAGTTACTACTCACAGTGGTTTGAGTTGTCACTAAGTCTCGGACGTCCACCTAAACAAAACACATAACAGAAGCACAGTTGAAACACCAATTCATTTTAATTCAATTCTACTCGTGTTTCTAACTCATTCTATGATTATATGAGTCCAAATGGTGCCTAAGAATACTTGGAGTGGCATGAGGATGCAAATATGCACTTAAAAGAGTTGGTGAAATTTTGTTGAAAACAGGGTCTCCGTTCGAGCGCAACTTCCTTCGCTCGAGTGGGGTGGTCGCTCGAGCGTAACTCCTGTCGCTCGAGCGGTCTGCAAAAGTACTGGTTACATGAAATTCCCGCTCGACGGTCGCTCGAGCGGAAGACCGAGAAATAGGGTCTTCGCTTGAGCGCCACTTTGGTCACTCGAGCGGCCTTTAAAATTTTATAAATCTTCTGGGAGTTCAATTTTCATGCTTGAGCGGGCAGCATGAATTCTGGAATTTCCAGAACAGTGTTTGTGCTTTAAGGTTGATATTCAAAGCCTCAAAACTTGTGTTTTTGGTACAAAAACTTGGAAAATCATTATGTAACATGAAAATACTTCCAATTTGAAACCGTTTGATCGAAATCATGCTTTCAATTGTCCAAGTTCAAGCTTAAATTTTCAAGTTGAAGCCATGCATGTTATGAATTGAGCCTCCTTCATATTAAAACACCACTCAGTGATATGAAATGCATGAATTCATGGATGATCTTCAAGCTCATGCCTCCTAAGCTTCATGCATATATGAATTTCAAGAAATCTTAGCTCAAAAATGAAAGATTATGCATGCATGTGCATAATTCAACTCAAATTCACCATATCCATGGTAATTCATGCTCAATCTACTCAAATTCAAACAAATGATCCCCTAACTCCATGAACTTAGTTTCTACGTGACTTGATTCCAAGAATTGGCTTGAGTTTCATACCTAATGTGTGAGTTCAAGTGTTGGACTAGCTCCATTCACCAAAACTCTAGCAATTCACTTCAATCTCCTTTTTCTCTCTCTAAATGTTGAACTCTCCTTCCTCCTCTCTCAATTCTCAGCCAAGTGTGTGTATACATGAGCTCATAAGCTTATTTAGAGCTATTTATATGGTGTGATTAAGTTAGCCTAATCACATATGATTAAGGTTAACTAGTTAGGCTTAATTCTAGTTAATTCAATCAGTTTATTCCAATTATTTTGATCCAAATAAAATTTCGATTAAAGTTACTATAAAATTCTAAATATTCTAATTAGTCTATTGGGTTAGTCAATTTCAGTTTCTGAAGTCATCTAAGTTCTCAATTTCTGTATCTAAGTTGTCAATTCGAACAGATATTCCATGAAATGACAGATAATCACAAAATTAAGCATGTATTCGCATAAATAAACACACAATCATGCAATTAGACTTAGTAAAATATCATTATACACTAGTTCGGAGGTTGGGGTCGTCACACTTAGCCTACCCCTTCTCCTAACTCAGCCGCCCACACCCACACCCACACCCACACCCATACCATACCCATTCTCATAGCTCTCCTTTCCCCACCCCTACCACACAAAATCAACTCTTCCATGGAACCCTAAAATCAGCCACCCCTTCTCCACAAATTGGATTTGCCATGGAAGCTTAAAATCAAAGAAAAAGAGAGTTATGCCACTTGAACATGGGTATTGACCCAAACATCCATATTTTCAACCTCAATTTTTTAGTCCAAAAAGACAAAAAGTGCACTTTTTTAGTCTTCCCAAACTTGACCTTAGTAAAATATCATTATACACTAGTTCGGAGGTCGGGGACGTCACACTTAGCCTACCCCTTCTCCTAACTCAGCCGCCTGCACCCACACCCACACCCACACCCACACCCACACCCACACCATACCCATTCTCCTAGCTCTCCTTTCCCCACCCCTACCACACAAAATCAACTCTTTCATGGAACCGTAAAATCAGCCACCCCTTCTCCACAAATTGGATTTGCCATGGAAGCTTAAAATCAAAGAAAAAGAGAGTTATGCCACTTGAACATGGGTATTGCAATTTGAATGGGTTTCGTAGTGGTGTCACAATGGAAGTTGGGAGAGTGATGGTGGATACGGGTCGGTTTCACTGTTGTATATGCACATTTCATTGGGTCTCTTTGTGCATATATATACACTAGTGGGTGTGTCCACCCGATGGGTGTGCTGTTAAATTTGTAAAATATAAATCTTAATTTTGAATTAAAAACATTTAGTGTCTATTGCTCAAGTGGTAAAGGTGTTATTTATCAGACCAATGGTCTTAGATTCGAGTCTGTAACCTTGATATTTAATTTAATTTAATTATTTAATTTTTTATCTTCAATAGAGAAAAAATCCACTTGGCAAAAAGAGAGGAGCTTCAGGACACAACCAAGTGAGTTGTTCACTTTATATATAGACTCTAGTATATATAAATTTAGCTATGGGACAATTACAAACAAACACAAGATTTGAGTCTTGTAACAATAAATCTTGAGTTTTTAATTTTGTCAATTTCAACTCTAATTGTTTGATTTGTCTTCAATTTAAACCATTCGCCTCTTTCCTCAAGTAAAACTGACGAGAAAAGAGTATTTTAGTCCTTAAACTCAATGTAGGTGTACGGAAAATGTCTAAAATACCCTTTTCATTGAGTTTAACGACTAAAATACCCATTTTTCTATTGATTTTACTTAACAAAAATATGCAAATGGTTTAGATTGAAAACAAATCAAAAGTTTAAAGTTCAAATTGACAAAACTAAAAAGGCAAATGCTAACAAGTGCCCCTTAGGCATTGTTTAGTATTGGAAAGTGTGTAAAAAGTGCCTTGAAAATATGTAAAAATATATTAGAAAGTATATTGATTTCAATAAAAGTGCATTGAAGTTGGTGTAAAGTGTATTTTGTTTTACAAATATTTTGTCTTTTACTTGTGCCCAAGGAGCACTTGTTAGCAAGACCCGATTAAACATTCATGTTTATTTTGTTACAAAGCTCAAACCTTTTGTTCTTTTAATTTTCCCTATATGTATATATACTTATATTATAGAGAGGGAAACTAGTAAAAACCAGTTCTTTGAAGAATACTCTCCATATGTTTGATACATTGTTTCACAGAATGTGGTCTGTTTTTGGCTATGCCAATAATGTCTCTGGTTTCTCAAAGGCATAATTCTTGTTCTAAAAAATTTGAGTTCGTTCTAATCTTGGAATGGACCCCTTTGTGCTTAGTATTGCTTTGTTGCTTGGTATTGCACTTGGTATTTTGGGTTTGTTGTTTTGATTTAATGGTCACTGGCTGAGAATGGTGGTGGTGGGTTTGATCTTATGGTTATAAATGTTATCTTCAAAAACTGTTAGTTGACTAAATGGTTGACTAAGGTCTCGTTTGGTAACATCACTTTTTTAGCCTAAAAGTCAAAAAGTCACTAAAAAAATCAAAAAGACAATAACCTATACCAAAAAGTCAAAAATTCTCTTTTCTCTCTACTTTTTACACATCTATGTGTAAAAAATAAAAAAATTATCCCAAACATGCTAGTTTTTTTTTTACATCATATTTTAGCCAAAAAGCCAAAAAGTTTTAAAAAAAATCATGTTCCCAAACGAAGCCTTACAAAAATGGCTATTTGTTATGCAATTGGAAATCTCAAGGGGCGGGATGTAATTTCTAGGATCACAAGAGAATCTATATTTTAAGCAAACCTTGAGAGTTGTATATGTAATTTGTCATTTCCATAATATAAGAAAGTGTAACAGTCTTTATAAACAGGGAATGATTTTGTTTGGTTCTTTTGAGCCTTAATGTGGGAAGCAAACCGTAATCAACGATTCTAATCAATTGGAATTGGAACATAACAGTGTTTTGAAAATTGCGGAGACCAAACCATATGGTTTGGACTAGTCTAGATTGGTGTTTTGGTACCACCATATTTTTAGACACCCCTAGGCGGAATTTATAATTGCAGTTTTTGATTATAGGTCTTTGAAGTGTGCAAGCATGAAATGAAGGAATAAGAAATTGAGACTTCCAAACCCTAACACAAGTGTTAATTGGTCTTAGAATAATGCATTCTATCAAAGAAATATTTGGCTTGGTTTATGTTATGGGGATCAGGATAAGAAGTTTGTAATTTTTTTTTAAAAATTGTTTTGTTACTCTAGCTGTGGAGTTTATTGGTTTGAAAAATACCTTGAGAGGAACTGAGCTTGTCTCGTCATTTTTATTTTTATTTTTCTTTTTATTATATGTATATATATATATATTTTAAGGGGGCTCTCCCCTTTTCTTTATATGGTTCCGCTGACTTTTTGGGTGAGTGTAGATTTGTAGGAAGTTGATGGGTACGTTTGGTTTGGATTTCTAGAGTGATTTTGGAAAAAATTTTCTTAAAAATTTGTTTGGTTTGTAAATTTTTCAAAATAATTTTCAAAATCACTCTCTCTCGTACCTATCAATCAATCATTTTTTCTCTCTCCTCTCTCATTCTCAATTACTTTTTCTTTCACACACATCTACTCAATTATAACAAAATAACAAATCATTCCAAACTCCAAAACTCCAAAACTACTTTCAAAATACACAACCAAACAAACCAAAAAAATTTCTAAACTCTCTTCCAAAAACATTTTTAAAAACTACTCTCCCAAAACCAAACCAAACATACCCGATATATTTGTTTTGTATACTTGTGTACAGGGTTGCACCTTTTTTAGGTGTTTGCTTGTATCATTGCACCTCTTGTAAATAAACGATGTGGTTCTATCGCATGTGCGTATGTACAAAGGTTTTTGTATTTGTGCTGAGCCTATTCAAGACTATCATTTGGCGGAAGGTGAAATAAAGGAAAATTGTACAGTTATAACAATGCTCTTAGATGACGCGTGTTTTTCAAATACCGTATGCTATAACTAACGGATAAATGCATGATATATATGGGTGATAATTTTTAGGGTAAACTATCAATATCTTCTAATAGTTGAACTTAATTTCTATTAAGTTCTATTGAAAATAAGTCCTAATAAAATCGTTGTTCAAAATAAATTTGTGACATTTTTTGCATGTCGCTAAAAATTGACAATTAGTAATTTTTTTGTTATGATTTTTATAAATTGTCGCTAAAATTTACAATTACTGATATTTTTCTGTGACGAATTTTTCAAACAATTGTTGGAAGTTGAAAATTAGTGACTTTTTTTTTTTTGGTGGCAATTTTTTTAAACTGTCGCTAAAATTTATAATTAATGACATTTTTTATGACAAAATTTTCAAGTGTCCCTGAAAATTAACAATTAGTGACGGTTTTTTAATAGTGTTTGATGAAAAATACCATTAATGATCATAGAACCTATTGGACAATAAATTTACTTATTAGGATCTACACGTAAGTCTTAATTTTTAATATGACATGATAACACAACTTGAATTGTGCACGAAGTAAGCCCATTATGGTTAGCCATTTCCGACATGAACACGAATATGACAGGACAGGACAACGTGAATATTAAACGGGCCAAATTAATATTGAACCTGCATAACACGAAATTGACACAAATAACTTTGTTTAATGAAGAATTAATTAATGTTATTTCCACTGAAGGGTTCCATGAAATTTTGAATCCAATATCTAACTTTATCAAGCTAATTAAAAAAGTAGGTAAAATAGAATTTTGAGGCTAATATAGTTTGCTTGTTTTTTCAATCGAAGATAATATATTTTTTATCTACTATTTTAGAGTCAATCTAGTAAAAAAAAAAAAGAAGGGCAAATTACAAAAAAAACCTCAGGTTTCGCATGTTTTTTAAATTAAACCTTAGGGTTTCCATTTTAACAAATTAAACCCTAGAGTTTCTTCCATGTTTCAACGTGAACCCTTCATTCATATCCGTTTGATTGAACTAACGGAATCTGGACAAAATTCTCAGATTCAAATACACATGTTCAAATACTTGTATCTTCCTTGTCGTAATTCCGTTTCGTTTCGTTTCGTTTTTGCATCATTGGATTCACTTCATTGCCTAGTTTTCATTCTATCCCTAATATGCCTTGTTCAACCTCATTTGTGTGCCGTTGGAACTCCAAAAGTTGGTCAAAAATAAGATTTTTCTCTCTTTGGGCAAATTTTTTGATTCAAATACACATGTTCACGTACTTGTATCTCCTTTGTTGTAATTCCATTTTGCCTCATTTGTGCGTCGTTGGATTCACCTCATGGTTTAGTTTTTGTTCTACTCCTCATAAGCCTTGTTCCACATCTTTTTGCATACGGTTGGAGCACCAAAATTTGGCCAAAAATAAGATTTTTCTTTCTTTGGGCAAAATTTTCATATTCAAATTCACATGTTCAAGTATTTGTATCTCCCTCATTGTAATTCCGTTTCACCTCATTTTTGCATTGTTGGATTCATCTCATGGCTTAGTTTTCATTTCACCCCTCATGTGTCTTATTCCACCTCTTTTTGCATGATGCCAAAGCTTCAAAAGTTGGTCAAAAATAAAATAATTCTCTCTTTTTTTTTTTCTTCTTCCCCCCCCCCTCCAATTTTTGTTTTTTGTTTTTTTTCCCTCCTCTATCTTCTATCTCCATGCTTCTTCCTTTCTACTTTCTTTCCACTATTATTCTCTTTTTTCCTTTTTCTTCATGGCCCTTCCACCAAGCTCATTGTGACCATCGAACCTCCGATGGTGGCGGTGTCGTCGAGTAAGAATGTATATGACTTACAAGAACGGAAAGAAACATAAGAGTGAGGGAAGGGCCATGAAGGAAGAGGAAAATAGAGACTAATTGTGAAAATGAAGGAGGAAGGAAGAAGTATGGAGATATAAGATAGACGAAGAAAGAAAGAATGAAAAAAAAAAAGAAAGAAGAGAGAAAAATCTTATTTTTGGCCAATTTTCGGAGCTCCGACAACACGCAAAAAGTGGTGGAACAAGGCGTATAAGAGGTGGAATGAGGTTATGAGGTGAATCCAATGACGCAAAAATGAGATGAAATGGAGTTACGACGAAGGAGATATAAGTGCTTGAATATGTGCGTTTGAATATGAAAATTTTGCTCAAAGAGAAAAATTTTATTTTTGGCCAACTTTCAGAATTTCAACGGCACGCAAAAAGTGGTGGAACAAGGCGTATGAGGGGTGGAATGAAAACTAGGCAATGAGGTAAATCCAATGACGCAAAAATGAGGTGAAACGGAGTTACGACGAGGGAGATATAAGTGTTTGTACATATAGTTCAATCAAATAGATATGGACGGAAGGTTCACATTGAAATATGGAAGAAATCCAGGGTTTAATTTGTCAAAATTGAAATCCTGGGATTTAATTGAAAAACATGCGAAACCTTGATTTTTTTTTTTTTTTTTTTTTTTTAATCCCCCCCCCCCCCCCCAAAAAAAAAAAAAAAAAAAGAAAAGAAAAGGATATAGTTCTTATGAATTAGGGAAATAGAATTGAGGTGAAATCAAATATTGTTATGAATAATTTTATCGAGTAGAGATTAAAAAATTTAATTTTTCATGAACTTGTTATTTTTAACTAAAGGTGAATTTTTTTGACATAACACGTTAACACGACTCAAACCGGATATAGATAAAAAATAATATGACAAGATAAGACAATAATAAATGGGTTGGGTTGGTGTTGAGGTAATTTTAATACGAACACGAAACCGAAATGAGACAAATACAACCCAACACAACCTGATATGTGAGATGTGTAAGGCATTTGTGTGTTGACTACAATAGTAGACTTCCCTTAGAAATAAGAGCACGTCAATTACCTGCATTTTGGAGGATTAAATGGATTTGCTCTATGTTAAGTGGATTGATTCGGTACGTGGAATGCGAACATTATATGCCACATGCTTTAAATTGTGGTACGATAGGGGTAGACTTGTATAGTTTAGATTAAAATTTAAGGTTCTTCTAGGGTAATTGTTTTTAACAATCAGGCATCCAATAAAATATAGGCTTTTATTTATTTCAAATTAATCATATAGAAACCCGTTTCTATGAGTATTATGACCTTTTTTTGATGTTTCATCATGTCAAAAAACTTCACTTATCTTATATTGTAGTTCATTATATTTGATGAAAGGAAATATATTAGAAAAAACTTTTGGGATTGCTTTGGATTGCTAGATTTATAATTTTGGAACGAAAGTGTACATGTTTGCAATTTGCTTTGGTATTAGCATTTTCTGAAAACTAGATTTACTTAATGATTTACTTAGGCATGAAAGAACTTTAAATGTTTTTGGACATTGGTCATTTCTTTCTGGCAATGTACTTTATCAATTAACTCATTTGAAATTGTTGTTTTTGCGATTCCTTTTTTATTGTTGTTGCTGTTGCTGTTTTTTGTACTTATACGAGGGTAATTCATCTGGAGTCTGGTGTCCATGCATAATTATTTGTTCAGGATTTTAGGGATTCTTTATTTCGTGCATGTATTTTACAAGGAAGAACATCACCCCTGATATCTGTTTGTCCTGTGTTTTGCTTTCTATGGCAGGGTGGACGTTGTGATCTTTGTAATATGGGAACTTGTCATTTTAGCCTTCCTGGTTTTCTCAGCTGTTTCATTGTATTTCGGACATATGAAACTTGCATTTATCTTAGTTTGTGTCACATTGCTTTTGCTTTTATGCATGAAAGTTGTGAAACAAGTAAGACTGGCCCGGAAAAAGAAACGAAGGATGCTTCTTCCATTGTCAATGTAATGTGCTAACGAAGTTGAATACATTTTTTTATTCCCAAGTGATACCAGCTTTGTTCTTTAGATTGTATGAATTCTTGATCTGGACCATTGCTCATGGTTCATCTTTTTTTCTCTTCCTCTCTCTCTCTCTTTTCTTTTTTGGATATATGTAAAAGCAAGCTGACTGAAGAATATAATTGATTTGGTTACTTCAATACAAAATGATCCAACTAGTGTTACTTCATTTTTCTACTTTTGTAAGATGTGTTCCTCATCATTGAAACATATTGTGATGTTTTGGCTTGAATGAAGCTAGCAAGTTTTTGGGTTGGTTTCCTTTTTAGTATGTTCTCATTTCAGATTTCAGATTAAAGTGAATGAGCAATCTTTCATCCTTGGCACTTGCACTGGAAATGCTGCTTGTGTCGGTCTACATGGTTCTAGGAATGCTGAATTCTTTCAATATCAATGGGGGAGTGAGTGAGTGCAGTCATTTTGTGGTTTGAGTGCAGTCATTTTGTGGTTTGCTACTTCAGAACACAGCTATAATGATATTAGATACATGGGGGTACGATCTCTCTTGAAGATTGGGTCAATGCAGATATGGTTAGTTGATGGGTTGGAATCATCACACCCTTGCTTTTGTGCAATCACACCCTCTTCTAGGCTGCAGTTCTACCATGGTGAAGGCCATGACGTCAGGTTCATGTATATTTCATCACTTGGTTAGAGCTCATCTATTTTGCTCCATTTAGTTTCTAGAGTCATTGGAATTCTTGTTGGTAAATGGTTGGCAGCGGTTGTTGATTTGTGAGGGTGGTTGCCGAAAAATTGTCATTGGTGGGCGGTGATTGTAATAGTGTGTGGTGGTTGGAGAGGAGGCTAATGATATTTTAGTTGATTGTTAATTAACTAAAACATAATAACATATAACTTTGAAATCACATTGATCTTTAGTTGTACTATCATCAAATGAAAATAGGATTAAATTGGATTGTAATAAATCTAGTTAAGATTTCAACTCAATGTTGCATTCTTGAGCCAAAATGACTACAGCAAATTAAAGTTTATATACAAAAGTTTAGGGGGGGATTTGGTGATAGCCCCCTCACTATCTAATTTGTTTTTCAAAAGGACAAGAATTATATAAGTACTTTCAAAACCCCCTGATATTTTAAAACTTGTTTTTTTTACTATATTATCCTCATATAGTGATTTAGGTATATTCACAGTTTTGGTTGAAATCACGAGAGCTTCGAACGAATCTAATCCAAACCCTAGAAATGGAAGCGAGAAGGAAAAAAGAGTGGAGAAGGTGAGGAAATTTAGTTGAGGGTATAATAGTCTAATAAAATATTTAAATAATAAATTTTGTCCTTTATGCAAAATTTTATAATTATAAGGGGATTTAGAAAGTATAATTGTTAATTAACTAAAACATAATAACATATAACTTTGAAATCACATTGATATTTAGTTGTACTATCATCAAATGAAAATAGGATTAAATTGGATTGTAATAAATCTAGTTAAGATTTCAACTGAATGTTGCATTCTTGAGCCAAAATGAGTTTATATACAAAAGTTTAGGGACAAAATCATATTTTAGGGATGAAATATTTTAGTTGTCAAAAGTGATTATATTTTCAATTATGAAATTGGACATTTAGAAATAAATTACTATTTTTTTGGAGCAAAAATTTTGTCTAAAAAAGTAAATCCTTTGGCATGAAGTTGTTTGGTCTCTAAAATACACTCATTAGTGATTTTTTAAAATTGTCACTAAAGGTAATTTGTTTTTTTGACATTTTGGGACAACTTTGTAGTGGCAACTCCTATGACAATAGGAGTTTCTTCTAATATTTTTTGTAACAAATTTTTTACTTTAAAAAATAAAAAAAATTAATTCCTAAAACTCTTATATATTGTAGTCAATCTTAGCTCCGCCATCAATTATATATACAATATACAACTATATTTTCATACGAAGAATGTTCATGTAATGTGATTTGATATGCAACACAACACTCCTAAAACTTAATGATTATTATTATTATGAGTTGGATTTATCTCAATTTTAAATTTGAACTTGAAGTATTTGTGGGTCTTATCACAGAAGGTAGTAATTCAACCATTAGGCCACTTAGACGGTCACCTAAGGCCCACTAGTAAATTTTATAATTCTTTTATTATCTATATCCTCAACTTTTCAAAAACTTAGTTAGACTAATTAGATAAGGCTTCGTTATAATGTTTAGTACAAGACTTCTAAAAATCGTGGGTTGTTATTGACCACATGTATCATTTGGATAATTTGAATTATTTATTTTATACATCATTTATGAAAAAAATTAGATCAATGTAAAATTTCATTTTATGATGTTAGTCTTCACAAAAAAAGAAAAAATAGATAGTCTATTTTAAAAAATTTACTTGTTTATAAAATTTGCGAGAAATCCAATGCTATTATTAATATTATGTCTTTTAAGTTCTTTACAAAAGTTTCTTTGCAGCATTTGTCGTATGGGCTTTTGAATAGTTTTCAATATGCATAATGCTTGTACCTTTAGAGTGACTCATGAAATCTTTTGACCAAGGTTATCTCAAATGTGGGCCGAGGACTGATTGTTAGTGGTCTAATAATTAAGAAACAAAATGTATGGCGTCGGCAACAATTTTAAAGTATTTAATAATGAATGTGCTTTGTCTGGTTCATGTTTGTAGTGATCTCACATCAGCAAACTAAAGTTTCCTTTTAGGTGAGTCCCAACAATGCACATATTTTGATTCGTATAACATAATGGAATTTACTAATTCAAATAGAGTTATTGTAAATTCTAAACGTAAATTTTCTATTATAAGATCAAACGCTCACTACATGAAAAACTATAACTAATATTGACCCAAATCCAAACACATATTTAAAATAATCATATTTCATATATCTATTACTCAAACACTAAAAGAAATATGTAAATAAATTCATTTTTTGAGGCAACTCACACCGGCTACCAAACATGATGTCACCTACCATCACGAGGCAATTATTTGGGAACTATCATATGAAACAATGTGATACCCTAATTTAATGATATCACGAAAATTTTGTAAGTAAGATAATATTTACATATCATTGTTAAGTAATTACGAGATTAAAATGATTTACGATATAATTTATGTTATGATTTTTTATTTGTTAGGTACTTGAGTGACAAGAATCATAAAAACTAAAGTACTCTAAAAATATATTTTGAAAAGTATTCGAAAAACAAAATATATGATGTGGGTGAAATAAAAAGAAAAATAATTCATCTCTTAATTTAGTTTTTTTGTTTTCACTCTCAATGATGTGAAATTAAAAAAACTAAAGATAAAGGGGAGAAGTATGCTTTACGTAGATTTTAACACATAGGCCCCGTTTATTTTCAGAGATTGAATGGAAGTGATTCATAGTGAAGGGATTGATAGTGAGGAATGGTTAAATTATTTTTATATAAAATAATAAAACAAATAAAAAAATATAAAAAATTAAACATTAATATTTTAAAAAAATTCCCAATATATAAAAATAAAAAAATTTCTAATCCCCTCACTATTTTTCTAATACCATCTCTATCTCCTCCTTACCAATCCCCCTTCCAAGGGTACCAAGGGATTAATAGTAAGGGATTAATAGTCCCCTCCCCATCTCTCAAAACAAACACCCCATTAATAATACCAAGGGATTAGTAATCTCAATCCCCTCCCTATAACCCCAAACAAACGGGGCCATACGGTATTAATTGAGGGATTTGGAAAGAGTTTTAAAAAAGAAAAAAAAGAAAAAGAAAAAATGAAATATAAATAAAATATATTTAAAATTTATTTAATTTTATACATATTTTTCTTTTTACTTTTTAATTTTTTTAAATTTTTTTTCAACAAGGTACGCATGGAGATTCACAGAAATACACTATTTCTCAATTTTCAATCAAGACTTGACTTGACTGTTGTATAAATTGTATATTTAAATAAAAATAAACAGATTTATATTTAGGGGTTGTTTGGAATGAGCTAAATAAGTACATTTTTTTGTCTTTTACAAAAAGATGTGCAGAAAAGTAGAGAGGTGATGTGATGGAAAAAAGATAAAAAGATAAAAAATGGATTATTTTAAGGATGCCAAACTTGGCCTTACTTAATTAAAATTACATAACAAAATCATGGGACTATATCATACTAGAAATAATAATTTGATGAACAAAAATATATGGATATATTACACTGGCACTTTCAGAGATTTCTGTTTAAAACAAATCCCTCTTCACGTTTGAAAAATTACATTCCTCTTCCTGAGGTTTGTAATCTCATTACAAATTGCCTCATGAATTACTGATTTCATGTCCTAAAATTTTCTAAATGACTATTTTGCCATTTTTCCTATCATTTTTTCTTCCTATCATGATGATTAAATTTTACAAATTTCTATCATTAAATTCTACCTGAACATATTCTTATTGAGTGATGATATATAAATATAAATTTTATATAAAATTTTCAAACACAATGATATAATTTAATGGTAAACTTGTACTTTAAAACAAAACACTTAAAAACATGATTTATATTTACAGCATCAATATCACAACATTTTAAGATATTTTTTGTATAAATTTTTATATATGAAAAGAATTTTTTCATTTTTATTTCCACCATTATTTTTCCTTCTTGTCTATTCACCTACATTTATTACTATTACCAAATACTGTCATTCACATTTATTACAATATTATTGATTTTTTGTATTTTTTTTTGGTATTTGGTGAATTAAAAAAAAAATCACAAAATATTATACTTCTTAAGTAGATCTAGATTAAGGGCTGGTTTGGCATAGCTTAAAAAAGACAAAAAGTCAAAAAATTACTCAAAAAGTTAAAAAGTTATCACTATTTAAAAAAAATTAAAAAATTAATTTCTAAACAAAAGTACAACTTTGATATCATCTATGTGCAGCTGCTGTGCTGACAAAAATGAAATAATTGGGTGTAATTTTAGATGGTTGTTGTTCGGCCCGTGGGGACCATCACGGGTCCCGTTTTAATAATCTGAACCGTTCAATGTGTAGAACTCGTCGAGTACTATATGTTTTTTACAGCATCAATATCACAACATTTTAAGATATTTTTTGTATAAATTTTTATATATGAAAAGAATTTTTTCATTTTTATTTCCACCATTATTTTTCCTTCTTGTCTATTCACCTACATTTATTA